TATTTTTCTGAATCAGCATTAAAAACTGATTTAGAAAAAGGTTTTTAGCTCATTTCATAGGTATACCTATGAAATGAGCTAAAAACCTTTTTCTAAATCAGTTTTTAATGCTGATTCAGAAAAATATAGTTCGAACCTTTCATCGTGCAATACAAGCACAAAAAGTCAATTTCATCAAAGAAGACGGTTTTTTGTATTTTTGAGGTCTTCTCAGTAATTTGAGTTTTACTTCACGAAGAAATGACTTTTGGAGGCTCGGAAGGTGTTATTCGTAATCAGCTCGTTAAACTGAATCTGAATATGTATAATAAGTCAAAACAAAATTCCACTTGAATTTTGCATTAGCTCAACCTTACATCAATCAATAGCCTATATCGAGATAGTAAAAAGTCTTAAAGGATTTATCCCCATGACGCTGGAAGACCCGGTTTTCTGGAAAACTGGCTTTTCAGAAACTCTAAAAGAATAATCGAAACGCTTCTCAATAAGGCATAATTGTAGCCTGGAAATATCTGATTAAAATGAGACATCTCCCAGCTCTACACGACCTTTCTTTGCAAAGTTATAGAATTTACACCAAAAGCCCTAAATGTTGGTTGTCAGCTCAAAGCTACAGAAATAAGACGAAATTAATTTAGAGCTTTTCTTGTAAATTCTATAACTTTGCAAAGAAAGGCCATGTCGAGCTGGGAGACGTCTTATTTTAATCAGAAATGTCCAGGCTACAATTATGCCTTATTAAGAAATGTTTTGATGATTTTTTTAGAGTTTCTGGAAAACCGGGTCTTGCACCGTTCTGCTCTTGATTTAAAAGACCATCAACATAAGAAAAGTTGATAAGCAAAAAATCCTTTCAAGTAACAGTTTCTAATCTTAATTTCTTTCTGTGATTCAGACGTCGAATTTGCTGGGTTGGTCAATGTTTTGACCTAACTAAAGAAATAGAGACGAAAAACTAAAGATAGTCTTGGTTATCGGGTAAAGGTAGGTGTCATCCGCCTTCTTCAATTTGAGCTGGATCCGTCACTCTAACTAATTCAATTCGAATTGACCAGCTTAATTTTAAATGACGATGCAATCGACTAGAGAAAACATTTTTCTCCAATATGAGCTATGGTGGAAATCTTCATCTTTTCTATTTCTTTCGTAACCGCTTTTCGACGAAGAGCCCTAAACCAGTTGTTTTCCGTTATAATTTGTTATAGGGCTTGTAAGAAGTATTTTTTCTAGAGGTACTGAATCAAGATGAAACGTACTCCCATAGCTCACCTTGTAGAAAATGTTTGCTCTATAAATCTCCATTGTTAGAAAAATTTCAGAAAATTAAATTTTGTTGAGAGAAACTTTCTGCGGAAAAAGCATGAGATTGCAACCAGTTATAATCAATGCATGTCTAATTATGTTTTACATGCATGTCTAGCAGACGTATTCGATAGAACTCTTGTTTGCTCTTATTCACACGCTTGAATAAATCATTGAATAATCATAGTTTTTCATACATATTATTTTACATGATCGATACCGGGTGTCACAGAAAGAATGGCGTAGTTTATATTTTCAGTTTTGCTCCTCTCTCTTTGCACTCGCAGAGGTCATCTTAATACCGAAAGATTCCCGAATCATTTCTCTACAAAATGGTGTATAGAAAATAATCCTAAGGTTTGAGACACTGTCTTAACTGAACAAATATCAAAATGTCCGAAAAACTTCAAAAATTTAACACAAAGAAGGATAGTTCGTCAGTTTGACGTTGAACGCATACGTTGTGTCTAGAGCAGGCAGGCCAAAATGTAGCCCTTACAATTCTCTACCGATTAGCTATAATGAGAATTTTCTATCGTTATTTCTGTGCTTTCTGTAATTAGTTTGTCAAAAGCCCTATGATCATTTTTTCAGCTTTTTCAACCTGTATTTTGGGGCTATTTGTAAAATGAATATTGCTCAGACAAAACTAAAGTAATCAAGCTCATTCTTGCGCCATTTTTAAGATAAATGTTTGCTCTACTCGACTCACGTACAAATTGCCTGGTGTAACGTTTGGAAATAATGGAGATGTTGAAACTAGCGCATTTTGTTCAGTAATGGCTGAAGTTTTCTGGATGTTTCGATGTTTGTTCACTTAAGACAGTGTTTCAAGCCTGAACAGAGAATCTTTTGGTAATAAGATGAGCTCTGTGAATTCAAATGGAGAGGAAAAAGACTGAAAATAAAAGCTACGCCGTTCTTTCTATAACACGCGCTACTTTTTAAATTCTTCATAGAAATCATTTGTTTTCTACCGTGAGGAGAAATCGCGTAACAATCAACTTTTTTAGTTAGGTTAGAGTATTTCAACAACAAGGAAATTTATATGTTTTATCAACGTTATCGATTCAAATATAAATGGCTAATTTATTATTCTATTTTTATTTGGTGTATTTGCTTTATATCCATTGAATTTCTTTCTAATTCTCCCACCAATCATATTATAAATACACAGTTGATCAATCATGGATCGATCAACTACAAAAAACAGCAACAACAATATTTCGAAAATAAATCGATTGAAATTTATTCACCTTTTGACATTGATTTTGATATCGCCAATAAATTAGATCCTAGTTTACCTTGGAAATATTGGTTATATATAAAAAAGATGCAAAATTCATCATCATCATCAACGTTTACCTTGAGAAATATGCATAACAAGCCCGTTTGCAAAATCCGTTTTCCAGACTTTAATAAACTTCATTATAATAACATTTATTGGCAACAACTTCAAACTAAAAATGGTACATTCTACCTTTATAGAGCATATTATGATGATCGCTCGTCTGCTGGTAAACGGGCATCAGTTCGAATAATAGCTATGATTGACAGAATCAAACCCGAAGCTCTCATGTGTCAATTATGGTTCAATAAACTATCTTCACCCATCCTCTCACCCGCATCATACATATGTAGTTGGTATTTTAAATGGGGTAACTATGTAGATGATGCATTAATTCCTTACATAATTACGTGCAAAATACCAAAATTTAATAATTTAACTCTTGTTCCTCAAGCTGTATCGCTTGTCGAGCGTATATGTCTCGAAAGAACAAATATATTACGAGTCACTGACAATCGACCGTCTAACAAGAAGAAAGAAGAGTTTGCTGTTTGTGTAAAAGGATTAGATTTCTTGGAAGATAATATCAGCCATCGTCTCATTGAATGGATTGAATTAATTACAATGTTGGGTGCAAAAAAAATCTTTTTCTATGTTTTTCATGTGAATTCAAACGTTACAAAAGTGTTGAATTATTATGAGAAAATAGGTAAGGTTGAATTAAGAAAAATTACATTGCCAGGACGTCAACCTAACCTGCCATCAGTTCGACATTTATATTTGAAACAACAAATTATCCAAAAACGACAAAATGAACTCATACCATATAACGATTGTTTATATCAAAATCTTTATATGTACGATTATTTAGCATTGCTCGATATTGATGAAATAATCATGCCACTAAAACACGATAATTGGTCACAGTTGTTGATCGAAATTCAAGAACTAAACAATTTTAAACAAGCAGGAAGCTACAGTTTTCGTCATGTCTACTTTTTAGATGACTTTGTTCAGAAAAACAGCACATCGTCAACACATCTTCACATGTTAAATCATGTTTACAGATCACGTAATTATAGTAAACCTCTAGCAGATTCTAAATGCTTTCATAATACAAGTCATGTGTTATCACTGCATAATCATTTTCCACTCGTTTGTATTGAATCATGTAAACGATATCATGTGTCCGAACAGTTAGCACATCTCCAACATTATCGAAAAGCATGCGCTGCGAGAAGGCCATGTAACAAACATCCCACGGACATCGTACGTGATACGACAATTTTTAAGTACAAAGATGAGCTCATTCGGCGAACAGAAAAGGTTATGAATCATCTGAATGTTTTTCTAGACTAACAATAGCGATTAACTGAAGGGTTTCTAAAAAATAAATAACTGAAGGATTAAGAAACTTCTTCTGGGTTCTTATATACAAAACAGTGAGGTCCTTTTGATATCTTAGCATACAGAACTTCGATGAAAGTGTAAAGAAGTGATATTTTTTCCTATATCAACAAAGCTTCTACATAGATTTTTCGAAGTTATCTTCATTATAGGACTATGTTAAGGCGAAATAAACTGTTTCGTAATAACTAGCTCGTTCTTCTCTCCAGTTTTTCTACCGAACAAAGAAGTCAGCCGCAAACCTCACTTAACAAAAAAGTGCTATCTGTGAAAAGCTAATATATTTTTCTCACATGTGGAAAATGCACACGATGTGTGGCATAGAGCGAGAGTTGGAATCGGTCCGCGTTGGTTAAACTCTTGAATCGCTTCTACCCGATTGAAGTACGACACAGTGGGGATGATGCACACATTTAATCAGAAAGTGAAAGTTTCTACTTTTTCACTCATTGGATAACAGAGTTCGGTGTCTGAGCTATCTTTTCGTACAAAAATACTTTTTGTGTGTCTCTGTAGACAAAGAGAAAATCCATAGTTACATTCATTTAGAATGTTCTTTTGTATAATAAATGTTATTAAATTAAAATTGAACGAATGGACTATGTGTTTTAACAGAAAAATGACTCAGTTTGAAGTTAAAGTCCTAGAGATAAAACATTCTTGTTCTTCCGACCAACTTTTCTAAAACAAAATTCGCCCTGTGTTATGAATATCCAACCTTTTCTCACCAGCTCTATTTCACGTAAAACTGTGTCACAACGTTCGCCTCTATATAATGCATCTACAGTTTATGCGAAAGAAACACATTTTTGCAAGCGAAAGAAACTACTATATGAGACATCATTTAGTACCTGCAGTATCACACGAATGATTTTTCAAAGAAGGTACGCCAAGAAGTCTGAATTTTCTTCAAGTCTTACTATACATATCATATGGGACTAATGGTTAACCTTACGTTGTCCTGAAACTGGCGAAAAAGCCCGATATGATAATGTATAGTGCGTACTGTAGTGCTTTTGGCATAACTCTCATAAATCCGTAAAGGTCGCATAGAGCTAGAATACGTCTCATTTTGATCAGAAATTTGTACTCTATAATTTGGCATTGTTCGAAAACAGTTTAGCTTTGATTTTCTAGATGAAAAACATTGGTTTAAAAAAGTCAAGGTTTCAAGACTCTTTTCTCAACAGCAATTCTATACAAATAAATTTCCTACCATTCGATAGCATCAAGTCTGAGCTTCATTTATGCTCGGTTGCAGATTTTCTACTATACTCTTCATATCAACCATTATAACATTATGGAGACTTTTTAAAACAACTTTTCCGAAGAGGTACATAAAGCATATTGGTGTTTAACAAAAACGCTTTGCTCAAAATCTAATATAAAGTTCCGGTAAAGCTTCATTTAGAAAAATAGCTCTTGAAAAGCTCTGCAATATTCTGACTACATGAGGGTTTCCGGTCCGATCAGACTATCGAGCGATATTGAGTACTGTGCTGTAGTAAACTGACATAATTTCCCATAATAACAACGTCGACAAACACAACCAAAATCAAACTGCTCATCCCGTATCTCAATGACTGAATGCATCGGCCGCCATTTAAACAATAGTCGGTATTATCACAATAAGTTGCATTACGATCGAACGGTATACAGTCATATTCTGCATAATTATCACATAGACAGATGTATCTATCATCACGAAAACATTTGATTCCTATTATGTAACAGGATCGCTGATAAAATTTAATACGTTTTAAATATGAAAACTCATTCATTATTGTATTATTTAATAATTCACGAACATGTGGACATTGATTAGTAGATAAAACACTGGTCGTGAGTGTTGGTACACGATGTCGGAAGCCAGTCAAGTACCATTACCCATTGGGAGCTGATGTGTCGTACAGCAGTTGAGCATAAATTAACGGTAGGAGCATTTTCTGTTTATGAACCATTGTCAGCACTGTGTAAAATGGGACATATTTGAATATTAGACCGTTTTCTAGAGAAAATTGCCTCAAAGAATCTTCAATGTTGAGAAAATGAATGACAATAACGGGAACTTGTACAGTAGTATTATCAGCTGGTCTATCACTAATGTGAACTGTCAGCTTAGCCTTTTTATGTTTGCATTGTTTTCCGAAAAACTCATTATGACAGAAACAAGTGAGGGATAAATCATCAGCTAGTGGCACACAGGAACCGCTGTTGTAACAGCTCCCACCCGTACATGTATCACGGTTTATCGAGCAACTAGGACCCATGAAACCTAGTGGACATAAACACTGTCCATCAACAACTATGGTCTGAGTTTGGATTTCCTTGTGGACTCTACGGTGATACCCCTAGTAGAATCCACGCTTACTTGCGCGTCGCGAAGTCATAGTAAGCTTGCCACAATGTTGCCGCGCAATACCCAATTTGAATCGTTATCGCTATCGCGAACGCACATATTCCTGAATTTTTCGCGTCCCGTGAAAAAGTCGCGGTTGTGTCCGGAAACAGTTCGCTACATAAGTCATAATAATTTTTTGAGCTACTTTCTTTTTTCGATAGAAGAAACTAGACATGCAACGGTGGCGGTGGACCACCGATCATCGGTGCACGTCATCCCTTTCGCCGATCCACCGGTGCATCAGTCTCACCGATCATCGGTGCACGTCATCCCTTTCGCCGATCCACCGGTGCATCAGTCTCACCGGTGCCACAGGTCCACCGTTCACCGTCGACACCGATGAGACCGGTGAACGATGAATCGTCACCGGTGCATGTTTAGAAGAAACAATAGAGACGTCAGAGCTACACATCAGTTTAGGATAAAAAGAAGAAGAAAAGAGTGTTTAGCAACACATCGTAAACTCGATACACTGGTGCATAGGCGACTGTATAAGAGATGATCATTTTAATAAAAAATAGTAACAGCGAGATTATACTTAGTTTTTAATATCCGAGCTGACAGTCGAGTTTTATATCTCAAGGAAAATTGCCGTTATCCAAACTGAAAACTGAGAATATCATCGTCTTGGTATCGTATGCGTATGGTAATTATAATGACAAATCATAGTAAAATATAGATCTATCTGAAGATATACCACGCGTGAACACTGAAGACGTTTGAGAACTAATCATGGTAAACTCATTTAAGGAAAGTTTCGCAGTTATTGATGAAGAAATTGGAGAAGAATGCGAGAACATATACTGGTGATATGTGTATAAAAGATGTGATAGATAGCAGCCATAAGATCATTCGTATTCATTACGAAAATATTGCTGAATCGAATGATCTAATCCAAAATTTCTCCTTTCAGTTTTGAAATCTTTCGAGCATGTTGGTGATATTCTTTTTCTTACAGACTATCAGCCGACAACTACAGCAATCTCTCGTGTGCTCCATAAAAAAGCATGTAAATTGATTTTTATCTTCTCTTGACAAGACAGAAAAGATTAGCCATGTTTTATTGAGTTCGACTTTGTTCGTCCATAACGATGTTATGCTAGTTTTGCTGTAGTTTCAGTGGTAGTGTTTATTTGGTCAATGACCAATGAACGATCTTCTAAACATGCAACGGTGACGATTCATCGTTCACCGGTCTCATCGGTGTCGACGGTGAACGGTGGACCTGTGGCACCGGTGAGACTGATGCACCGGTGGATCGGTGAAAGGGATGACGTGCACCGATGATCGGTGGTCCACCGCCACCGTTGCATGTCTAGTTTCTTCTATCGAAAAAAGAAAGTAGCTCAAAAAATTATTATGACTTATGATGTGAATGAAGAAGTAAAATGTATAGATTTATGTTTGCAACAGAAGTCGACTAAACTGTTCATTGTCTCCACTAAGAAACCGCTCACGCGAGCAAATACTTCATAAGCAAGAATTGATTGGTGAAACTCAAATGCATCCAAAATACATGCATATTCTGTTTGAAGTAGAATAGAATTCAAGATGTGTCTTTGTGTGTCACTCGTTCCTAGTTACTCTTCACTGTCAACAATAATGTGATCATTAAATTTATAGGAGTAAATCTTGTATTTGATCACAGAAGAAAATCCTTTCAATGGCATCCTAGCAAGGTGATAGGTTTTCGATTATGCTGATCAACTTATCAAATCGTATAAATTGTTTTAAATCGGATGGAACATGGCGATTCATAGTTGAAAAAACTCTCTCGAAAGCAAAAGGTTGCCGCTGAAACTTCTCAATCACAGATATTTACTATGTTCAATAAGTTTTCAACGATAAAATATTTTGAATCGATTGATGTCTTTAACTCCACATGATACTTATAACTACCACATCTCACTCTCAACTTCAAATCGAATTTTCGATCAAAATAAGAGAAGGCAACATATCCTGACTCCATGCATGAACATTTGTATATCATTGTGTACCAAAAGTCGACAGAAAACTTTCTCTGGTTTGAATCAAACAATGAAATTTACAATTATTTTGATATCCAATAGTTCATCAACAAAACTCAAAAACGAACTGTGACTAGTAGAAAAATCCACTTCAATCATTATTGAACTCGAATATATGATCACTCATGACACCTGTAATCAAACAAGAAAAGTGAGACTCTAGATTCGAAATACAGCTAAGCCTGAGCGAAGACTGTACTACATTAGTACTGAGTAGTGTATAGAGTCTCACATTTTCCCTCTTGTACCTGACACTGAACTATTGTCGTTAAAAAATGCAACATGATTTTTCTGCATCATTCGCGAATGAGTGAAGTCAGACAAAAAGTTTGGAATAGATCTGTGAAAGTCAGCTCTGATTTTCAAATGACAAAAATATCTTCATCAAAGAATTGATCCGGAAAGCTTTCTGAAGTTCTATTGATTGATCATCAACTACCGAACTAATTAACGAACGATCAATACAAAATCAATTTTGAAGATTTCGAAGAAACAACTTTGATCGAATAATTGTTTGTTTTTAT